TTTGTATGAAAGAAACACTTTTGTAATTTGAAGGTAGTTTTTAAAAAGGTTTATAATGCTGTATTTTTTTGTTTTTTGTTTTTTTTAATGTTAGTGTTGTAAAAACATGTAACATAAAATTTACCAACTTAAATCTATTGAAGTGTACACTTCAGACATGGTGGTAACTCACATCTGCAATCCCAGGATTTTGGGAGGCCAAGACAGGTGGATTGATTGAGGCCAAAGTATGAGACTGGTCTGGGCAACACATGGAGATTCCCTATCTACAAATAATTTTTTAAAATAGCTAGGCATGGTGGTGTGCACCCATGGTACAAGCTTTTTGGGAGATTGAGGGGGAGGGATTACATTAGCTTTGAAGTTAGAGTCTACAGTGAGCCATAATTGCACCACTGTACTTCAGCTTGGGTAACAAAGTGAGACCCTGTCTTTTTAAAAAAAAAAAAAAAAAACTGTACATTTCAGACATGATAAAAATATATACATTGTTATTCAAAAAACTTCTAGAAATTTTACACATGTGAAACTAAATACACATTAAGTAACAAGTGCTCATTTTGCCGTTTTCAGCCCTTGACAAACACCCGTTTACTTGCTGATTTTATGAGTGTGACTACTTAAGATACCTCAGATAAGTTGAGTCATATGGTATCCATAATTTCGTTACTAATTTCTGGTGACATAATATTCTCAAAATTTATCTTAAAATGAGGCAAGATTTTCTATTTGAAGGCTGAATAATATTACATTGTAGGTATATGTTACATTTTTTGATGTATTTATAAATCAAGGGACATCTAAGTTTCTTCAACCTTTGGCTTTTGTGCATACTGATACAAAAAATATGGATGTTCATATATGTTACTCAGGTCCTGCATTTTCTGTTATGAATATAGATTCATAAATGAGATTTTTTGTATTTGATAATTTTATTTTTAATTCTTTGAGAAACATTTATATATATATATGTTTTTTTTTTTTTGAGACAAAATTTTGCTCTCATTGCCCAGGCTGGAGTCAATGGCGTGATCTCGGTTCACTGCAACCTCTGCCCCCCAGGTTCAAGCGATTCTTCTGCCTCAGCTCTCTGAGTAGCTGGGATTACAGGCATGGGCCACCATGCCTGGCTAATTTTGTATTTTTAGTAGAGATGGAGTTATTCCATGTTGATCAGGCTAGTCTCAAACTTCCGACCTCAGGTGATCTGCTGGCCTCGACCTCCTTGTTTTCCACCAGCAGTCAATATAGGGTTTTTTTTTTTAATTGGTAATTTTTTATTATTATTATTATTATTATTATTATTATTATTTTGAGATAGAGTCTTGCTCTGTCACCTACACTGAAGTGCAGTGATTTGTTCTTGTGTGCCAGGTTCAAATAGTTCTCCTGCCTCAGCCTCAGGAGTAGCTGAGATTACAGGCACCCACCACTATGTCTGGCTAATTTTTGTCTTTTTAGTAGAGATGGGGTTTTGCCATGTTGGCCAGACTGATCTCGAACTGACCTATGGTGATTCACCTGTCTCAACCTCCCAAAGCACTGGGATTAAAGATGTGAGCCACTGTACCTGGCTGGTTTTATTTTTATTGCATCATCAACAGATTTTGTGTTTTTATAAAATTTATAGTAGCCATTCTAAGTGGGTGTGAGGTGATTTTGTTTTTCATTGTGATTTTTATGCATTTCTCTACAAATTGTAATTTTGTGTCTTTTTAAATGCTTCTTCCCATTTGTGTATATTTTTGGTAAAAATTTAGTTCAGTTATTTGTCCATTTCCAAATCAGATTATTCAACTTTATTGTCAGTTTTGTTGTTTATATATTATTAATATTAATACCACATGTGATTTACAAATACTTTCACTCATTTTCTAGGAGGCATTGTCTCTCTATTGAATGTTTTCTTTGATGTATACAAATTTTGAGGTATAGTGTAGTTAAATTTTTCTGTTCTTTGTTGTTCATGCATTTAAGGTTGTATCTAAGAAAATGGTGCCAAGACCAGTGTCGTGTCTTTTTTCCATATTTCTTTTTAGAAGATTTGTTAGTTCCTTTTTTCTGTCTTATGTGTTTTGTTTAAAATGTTTTTATATATACTTCAAGGAAATCATCCAACTTTATTAGTGTTGGTATCAACGTTTCAACATCATTTTTTGAAGGTATTTTTTTCTATTGTTTGCTCATGACAACTTTGTAGAAGATCATTTGATCATATACAGAAGGGTTCATTTTAGGGTTCTTTATTCTGTTCTTTCATCTACTTATCTGTCTTTGTGTCAGTACCACATTGTTATTGTAGCTTTTAATATGTTTTGAAATCAGAAAGTATAATGCCTCTTTATTGTTTCATAATTGCTTGGCTATAGTTTTTTGTTTTGTTTTGTTTTGTTTTAAGAAATAGAGCTCTTGCTCTGTCACCCAGGCTGGAGTGCAGTGGCACGATTGTGGCTCACTGAAACATCTGCCTCCCGGGTTCTAGCAATTCGCCTGCCTCAGCCTCCCAAGTAGCTGGGATTGCAGGCACACACTGCCACACCCAGCTAATTTTTTGTATTTTTAGTAGAGACAGGGTATCACCCTGTTACCCAGGCTGGTCTCAAACTCCTGAGCTCAGCAGGCAATCCACCCGCCTTGGCCTCCCAAAGTGCTAGGATAACAAACGTAAGCCACCGTGCCTGGCTTGGCTATAGTTTTTAATCAAATTTTAAAATTGTGAAGAATATTTCTGTGAAAAATTGTACTATTGCATTTTATGTAGATATTATATTGAATTAGTTCACCACTGTAGCTTGTATTGACAACTTTGGAAAAGTTAAATTCTTTGGTCCTTGAGCAAGAATATGTTGAAGAGTGTGTTTTATTTTCATATATTTTTAGATTTGCCAATTTTGCTTTTAATTCCTAGTTTTATGCAATTTTGGTCAAAAACCGCAGTGTATAATTTTGGTCTTCTTAAATTTATTTGTCACTGTTGTTGTTTTGAGACAGGATCTTACTCTTGCCCAGGCTGGAGTACAGTGACATGATTTTGGCTCACTGTAGCCTCAACCTCCTTGGCTCAAGTCAACCTCAGCCCCTCAAGTAGCTGGGTGTACAGACATGCACTACCATCCCTGGCTAATTTTTTTTTTTTTTTTTTGAGGCGAAGTCTGGCTGTGTGGCCCAGGCTGGAGTGCAGTGGCGCGATGATCTCGGCTCACTGTATGCTCCACCTCCCGGGTTCACGCCATTCTCCTGCCTCAGCCTCCTGAATAGCTGGGACTACAGGCTCCTGCCACCACGTCCGGCTAATTTTTTTTGTATTTTAGTAGAGACGGGGTTTCACCATGTTAGCCAGGATGGTCTTGATCTCCTGACCTCGTGATCTGCCCGTCTCAGCCTCCCAAAGTGCTGGGATTACAGGCGTGAGCCACCGCGCCCGGCAAATTTTTTATTATTATTTGTGGAGACAGAGTCTCACTGTGTTTCCCTGGCTGGTCTCAAACTTCTGGCCCCAAGTGATCCTCCTACTTTTGTTTCCCAAGTTTTAGGATTAGGGGCATAAGCAACTGCACACAGTTTATCCTAGCAGAATACACAAGGTGCAAAGAAGAATATTGTATGTTCTCTTGCTTTTTTTTTTTTTTTGAGGCAGAGTCTGGCTCTGTCGCCCAGGCTGGAGTGCAGTGGCCGGATCTCAGCTCACTGCAAGCTCCGCCTCCCGGGTTCACGCCATTCTCCTGCCTCAGCCTCCCGAGTAGCTGGGACTACAGGCGCCCGCCACCTCGCCCGGCTAGTTTTTTGTATTTTTTAGTAGAGACGGGGTTTCACCGTGTTAGCCAGGATGGTCTTGATCTCCTGACCTAGTGATCCGCCCGTCTCGGCCTCCCAAAGTGCTGGGATTACAGGCTTGAGCCACCGCGCCTGGCCGTTCTCTTGCTTTTTACTGGAAAGGTTTATATGAGTCTGTTAAGTTTACTTTGTCTGTGATATGGTTTGGATGTCCATGTTTCCAAACCTCATGCTGCAATGTAATCTTCAGTGTTGGATGTGGGACCTGGAAAGAGGTATTTTTGTCATGGAGGTGAATTCCTCATGAATGACTTGACACCATCGTCTTGGTAATAAGAAAGTTTACGCTCTGTTAATTCAAGAGAGAGCTGGTTCATTGAAAGAACCTGGCTCTTTCACCTCATACCTTCTCTATCTGTTACCATGTGATATTTCCAGTTACTCTTTGCCTTCCACCATAACAGTAAGCTTCCTGAGACCCTCACCAGAAACAGATGCTGGTACACACTTCTTTGTAGTACAGTCTGCCAAATTGTGAGCAAAATAAGCCTTTTTTCTTTTTTTTTTTTTTTTTTTTTTTTAGACGGAGTCTCGCTTGTAGCCCAGGCTGGGTGCAGTGCCAGATCTCAGCTCATTGCAAGCTCGCCTCCGGTCACGCCATTCTCCGGCTCAGCCTCCAGTAGCTGGACTACAGGCGTGCACTCGCCGCTATTTTTTTCTTTTATAGAGACGGGTTTCACGTGTTAGCCAGGTGGTCCGATCTCCTGACTCGTGATCCGCCCATCTCGGCCTCCCAAAGTGCTGGGATTACAGGCTTGAGCCACCGCGCCCAGCCAATAAGCCTTTTTTCTTTATAAATTATTCACTCTCAGGTATTCCCCTATATGCAAAATAATTGGAGTTGGCAATGTACTTCTAAAGGCACTGTGTTATGTTGGAGAGCAGAAAAAACTGTGTTGGGTAAATGTAACCATTATCTTTTCCTTCTTTGTGGCTCTTTGCATTGGGCTCACCTGGGGCACTGCACACACTTATTTATAAATTTTTCGCTGATGCATTTTGATCAGTATGTTTTTGTTACATTTGTATGTCTATAAATAAATTAGGGCCTGTGGCATTTTTCTGACATCTTGCTCTTAGAACTTGTGTGATTTTATATGTTAGGTAAAGTATATTTATCTCTGAGTCTAGCAAGTGGAATAATTTGTTATTTTTATTTTTTTCAGTTATGTGTTCTCATGTTGCCCAAGACTTTTGGCCAGAGCAGCATATAAAACATCCTTTCCAAAAAGTGACACTGAGAAGATATAAAAACTGTGGACATAAAAATGTACATTTAAAAAAAGACTGTAAAAGTGTGGATGAGTGTAAGGTGCGCAGAGGAGGTTATAATGGATTTAACCAATGTTTGCCAGCTACCCAGAGCAACATATTTCTATTTGACAAATGTGTGAAAACCTTTCATGAATTTTCAAATTCAAACAGACATAAGATAAGCCATACTGAAAGAAAACTTTTCAAATGCAAAGAATGTGACAAATCATTTTGCATGCTTTCACAGCTAACTCAACATAAAATAATTCATACCAGAGTGAATTTCTGCAAATGTGAAAAATATGGAAAAGCTTTTAACTGGCCTTCAATCATCACTAAATGTAAGAGAATTAATACTGGAGAGAAACCCTATACATGTGAAGAATGTGGCAAAGTCTTTAACTGGTCCTCACACCTTACTACGCATAAAAAAATTTATACTAGATACAAACTCTACAAATGTGAAGAATGTGGCAAAGCTTTTAACAAGTCCTCAATCCTTACTACTCATAAGATAATTCACACTGGAAAGAAGTTCTACAAATGTGAAGAATGTGCCAAAGCTTTTAACCAATCCTCAAACCTTAGTGAACATAAGAAAATTCATCCTAGGGAGAGACTTTACAAATGTGAAGAATGTGGGAAAGCCTTTAATTGGCCCTCAACTCTTATTAAACATAAGAGAATTCATACTGGAGAGAAACCCTACACATGTGAAGAATGTGGCAAAGCCTTTAACCAGTTCTCAAACCTTACTACACATAAGAGAATCCATACTGCAGAGAAATTCTACAAATGTACAGAATGTGGTGAAGCTTTTAGCCGCTCCTCAAACCTTACTAAACATAAGAAAATTCATACTGAAAAGAAACCCTACAAATGTGAAGAATGTGGCAAAGCTTTTAAGTGGTCCTCAAAGCTTACTGAACATAAGTTAACTCATACAGGAGAGAAACCCTACAAATGTGAAGAATGTGGGAAAGCCTTTAACTGGCCCTCAACCCTTACTAAACATAACAGAATTCATACTGGAGAGAAACCCTACAAATGTGAAGTATGTGGCAAAGCCTTTAACCAGTTCTCAAACCTTACTACACATAAGAGAATTCATACTGCAGAGAAACCCTACAAATGTGAAGAATGTGGCAAAGCTTTTAGCCGGTCCTCAAACCTTAGTAAACATAGGAAAATTCACATTGAAAAGAAACCCTACAAATGTGAAGAATGTGGCAAAGCTTTTAAGTGGTCCTCAAAGCTTACTGAACATAAGATAACTCATAGTGGAGAGAAACCCTACAAATGTGAAGAATGTGGCAAAGCTTTTAACCATTTCTCAATCCTTACCAAACATAAGAGGATTCATACTGGAGAGAAACCCTACAAGTGTGAAGAATGTGGCAAAGCTTTTACCCAATCCTCAAACCTTACTACACATAAGAAAATTCATACTGGAGAGAAATTCTACAAATGCGAAGAATGTGGTAAAGCTTTTACCCAATCTTCAAACCTTACTACACATAAAAAAATTCATACCGGAGGAAAACCCTACAAATGTGAAGAATGTGGTAAAGCTTTTAACCAGTTCTCAACTCTTACTAAACATAAGATAATTCACACTGAGGAGAAACCCTACAAATGTGAAAAATGTGGCAAAGCCTTTAAGTGGTCTTCAACCCTTACTAAACATAAGATAATTCATACTGGAGAGAAACCCTACAAATGTGAAGAATGTGGCAAAGCTTTTAAACTGTCTTCAACCCTTTCTACACATAAGATTATTCATACTGGAGAGAAACCCTACAAATGTGAAAAGTGTGGCAAAGCTTTTAACCGATCCTCAAACCTTATTGAACATAAGAAAATTCATACTGGAAAGCAACCCTACAAATGTGAAGAATGTGGCAAAGCATTTAACTATTCCTCACACCTTAATACACACAAGAGAATTCATACTAAAGAACAACCCTACAAATGTAAAGAATGTGGCAAAGCTTTCAACCAATATTCAAACCTTACTACACATAACAAAATTCATACTGGAGAGAAACTCTACAAACCTGAAGATGTGACAGTGATTTTGACAACACCTCAAACTTTTTAAAACATAAAATTAATTATACTGGTGAGAAATTCTAGAAATGTAAAGAATGTGACAAAGCCTCTACATGGTTGTCACACTTGATTGTAGGTAAGATAATTTATATTGGAGTAAACTTCTACAAGTATGAAGAATGTGGCAGAACTTTTAATTAATGCTCATACCTTATTGCACAGGAAATAATTTTTACTTGGGAAAAGGTGTATACACAAAGAATGTGGAAAAGCCATTAATATCTGCTCATATCTTACTCAACATCAGAGAGTCAGTACTTAATAAAACCATTATAGATGCAAGTAGTGTCAAAAGATCTTTCAGAAAATATAAGCCTTTAAAGTGAAGAAGAGAATTCATTCTGAAGACAAACATTACAAATACAAAGAGGGTTGTAGTATACCATTACGTGTATCACAGATCTTATTGTACACATTTTGTACTAAAGAAAACCCTGAAGCAGTTGCTCAAATATTGTTCAACATCAGAAAATTTATATTGGAAAAACCTGGAAAATGTAATAAATTTGTAAAAACAGTTTTGAAAAACTACAGCTTATAAAACATGAGGGTCTATAGTACTTGGTTGATAGTACAAAGTTTGTTCAACACCAGGGAATTTATATTGCAGAGAAACCCTACAAATGTAATCAGTTTGGAAAAACATTTTTTCAAAAACCACAGCATAGAAAACACCAGAGGGTTCATACTAAAATATATTTTTGCAGATGCAGTAAATATGAAAAAAATGTAATCCTAAATTAAGCTTGTGTAAACATCTGAGAATTCACAGTGGAAATATCTAAGGCATGGACACTTCAGATGTTACACTAAATCAGTGCTAAGTACAGAAAACAACCCAAAATAATACTTGGTGGATAAATTGTATATAACATTAAAGTAGAAAATTTTCAGAGTTATAACTACATTTAAAGTATACTTTTATCTTGAGAAAATTACTGATTTTTGAATTAGTGAATAATGACGTGATTAAACTCTCAAATAACTATGCTCTTTTTTCATTCCTGCTATATTCACATGTGAAAGCATGTGACCAATTGTTGCTGCATCAAAGATATGAGAGATTCTTTTATTAGGTGGGCATTATTTAAAACATTTTTTTATGGAACAGTAAGGATACTAAATATAAGATGTAGCCAGGCATGGTGGCTCACACCTGTAATCCCAGCACTTTGGGAGGCTGCGGCCGGTGGATCACCTGAGGTCAGGAGTTTGAGACCAACCTGACCAACATGGTGAAACCCTGTCTCTACTAAAAATACAAAAATTTACCAGGCACCTATAACCCCAGCTAATTCAAAGGCTGAAGCAGGAGAATCCCTTGAACCTGGAAAGTGGAGGTCTCAGTGAGCCGAAATCATACCTACCATTGCACTCCAACCTGGGCAACAAAAGTCAAACTCCATCTCAAAAAAAGAATGTAAGATTCATGAATTTTCATTCCTGCTATATTCACATGTGAAAGCATGTGATTGAAATTACATTTCAGTAATGAAATTACATTTTCAGTAATTGGAGAGGCACTTTGTGGCTAACTTATAAAGGAGTGATGTAGGAGGTAGGTTTTCAGAGTAATAATCTTCTGCATTATAGTGAGAAAACAAGTTTTTTATTATAGTTAAAATTGGTTAAATTAGTAGTAAATCGTTTTATTGTAATTTTATGTAATGAAGTATGTCTTTTAACATTTTACATGTAAACATAACTTTTTAAAAAATGTGTTAAGACCATTGTGCATTCAATGAAACATGCTTCTAACTTTAACCTATTCCACCTTACTCAAGGGTGTATGTAAAAGATGGTAACAATATACTATTTGGTAACATAATGGACTAACATTTCTAGTAATCTCCATCAGTGGCTTTCAACTGCAAATAAGTTAAAGAATATTTTTTTCTATAGGTTAAATATTCTTGTCTTATTTAAACTTACTGTTCTTAATTTCTGTGGATACATAGTATGATTTTAATTACCTTATTTGTGCTATTCATAATTTTTTTGTTTGGTTGCTTTTTGGTTTTTTTTTTGGAGACAGAGTCTCACTCTGTCACCCAGGCTGGAGTACAGTGGCACGATCTTGGCTCACTGCAACCTCCACTTCCCCGGTTCAAGTGATTCTCCTACCTCTGCCTCCCAAATAGTTGGGATTACAGGCATCCGCCACCACACCAGGCTAATTTTTGTATTTTAGTAGAGATGGGGTTTCACCATGTTGACCAGGATGGTCTTGATCTTCTGACCTCGTGATCTGCCTGCCTCGCCCTCCCAGAGTGCTGGGACCACAGGCATGAGCCACTGTGCCCAGCCAAATGTGTATATATTTATGCAATATATGACATGTTTTGATACAGGCATATAATATGTATTAGTCACATCAGGATAAATAAAGTATCCATTACCTTCAGCATTTATCATTTGCATTACAAGCCAGTTCTACACTTTTCATTATTTTAATGTACAATTAAATTGTTATTGACTACAGGGTCATTTTAATTATAAAAATTATATAGAGTGTAAATAAAATCCATACATTTCTGAGTCATGAATAAACATTGTTATATATTTTTCCTTGAATATGTGGCTGCTTTGCCTGAAACACAGAGTTTTAGTTTTGGCCTACGTAGAGTTAAATATATACATACATCACTCTAAAGATAAACCTTAGGTGTAAGAAAATTATGGAGTAAGTAACTGTTCTTGTATGAGTTTGTACCTATTTTAGGAAGAAAAAAATCAATATTGAAGCAAGACAAGTAATTTTAATAACGTGACTAATTTACTGAAAACCTAAAAAATGTGGAACCAGCAGCTCATGACTGAATCGCATGCATAGCTGAACAGACATTAAAAAAAAAAAAAAAAAAAAAAAAAAAACTAAAAACCTCAAAAAAAAAGGCAATCTATACTGTCTGCTTTCTATTGAATTCATTACTGTAGGATTTTATGGCTTATGGTTCAGAATCTCCCCATGCAAACTTTTTTTTTTTTTTTTAACTTGCTTGGTACTCATGCTAAACCCATAACTTTCTTTTTTATTATTTTTTCTTTTATAGTTTATGAGGTATTCATTATGTAAGCTCACCAGGGATTATAAGAATGATTTTTATGAAATTTAGTTGTGCACACAAAATTTTTAGGTGGAATTCCACAATTAGTGTTTTAAGTTATATTTAGTTAGGACATTCGATTTTGTTTATTTAATTGGAGACTTCTATATAAACCTACTTTAGTTATTCATTTCACTTTCTATAATTGACATACGTAAATGTATTGAGCTAATAATAGGTAAATACTAGGGAGGCTTTATATGTTCTGAAGTTTTTTTGTTCTGTTTTGTTTTGAAACAGAATCTCGCTCTGTCGCCCAGGCTGGAGTGCAGTGGCATGATCTTGGCTCACTGCAACCTCCACCTCCCAGGTTCAAGCAGTTCTCCTGCCTCAGCCTCCTGAGTAGCTGGGACTATAGGCACACACCATCACGCCCAGTTAATTTTCCTTTTTGTATTTTTAGTAGAGAAAAGGTTTCACTGTATTAGGATGGTCTCCATCTCCTGACGTGTGATGTGCCCGCCTCAGCCTCTCAAAGTGTTAGGATTACAGGCGTGAGCCACTGCACCTGGCCTTTTGAGGATGTTTCTATACATAAATGTAGCAAACAAGCATGACAGTGCTTGCTGTGTAACAGATTGTCCATAATAAGCCAAAAATATTTTTGCTGGAGTTAGTTTGTAACTTCAAGTCAGAGATAGAAAATACCAGTGATGAAGAAATAATATTGATTATTCATGTGGAGGGGACATTTTCCCCGTCTTTAGTAAAAATACAAAAATTAGCTGATCGTGGTGGTATGTGTCCGTAATCCCAGCTACTCGGGAGGCTGAAGCAGGAGAATCGCTTGAACCTGGGAGGCAGAAGTTGCAGTGAGCCAAGATCATGCCATTGCATTCCACAGAGTGAGACTCCGTCTCAAAACAAAAAACTGGTTTTGTAAGCATCCTCAAAGAAATCTACACCTGTTTCCCAAATACTTGCAATTCAAAATTAAATTTCACAATCTTTTCACAAGAGTGGGTAGACAGCTTTTTTCTTCGAAGTGAGACCTGTACTATAAGGTCTTGATTCTAGCAGATCTGGCAGGTCTGCCTACAAACCTGCATGCAGGGCTGTGTGAGTGGCCGCTAGGGCACACTGGTGGGCTGAGAAGGGCCATGGAGACATTTATGATCACCAGATACCTTCAAAGGTGCATTATCCAAATGCTAGGCTTCACTTCCTAATGAGTTCTAGCAGACTAGTGTTTCCACCAGTCCCTGACCCATGTCTTTTGAATCTCCCTTGCCCAGGGTCCTCACAGCTGTCCACTATGTATGTCTCAGTCTTTGCCAATAGAGGACACCTAAAATGAGAGCAGAATAGACCTCAGAAAAAGCACTACTGTAAGTATTTCAAAGAAAACCAGCTAATTCAGATTTTCACCAAGGCTTGTCTATTGCAGCTTACTGTTCCTGAGAATGCTTTCTAAGCAGCAATAGATTTGAGAATGTTATTAGCTACTACTGTTTGTTTTCCTTCTAAGGTCCCACATTAACCAAAACCAAAATGAAACCAAAAATCTTCAAGTGTATAGCTTTTGTATATATGCCTAGCTGGCTAGCAGTAAAATTTGCACATTATATTGAATCTTGAATGATCTTCAGTGCTTACCAAGATGGCTCTTGGCATCAAACCCCAAAGGCTTTTTTTTTTTTTTTTTTTCTCTTCCGTTCTTTTTCCAACGTCAAAACATTGACGTTAAAATACATCAAACTACAGAGGGAAAAAAAAAACCTTAAGTCTTCTAAAAATAATTATTTCATTTAGAAATTTGATGGAGGGTTGGCAGAGGGTCACCAGAATTCAAAAGAGATTGAGTTTAATCCTCCAGCCCAGCCGTCCACATTTAGAAGTGACAACATTCATGAACTAAGTCAATATAATTTGCGCAGATCTTACCCAACAAACACTAAACTGCAAAAACAAACACTTGCATTTAGACTTATTTTTCTGAGATAGAGTCTTGCTTTGTCGCCAGGCTGGAATGCAGTGGCACGATCTAGGTTCACTGCAACCTCTGCCTCCCAGGTTCAAGCGATTCTTCTGCCTCAGCCTCCTGGGCAGCTGGGACTACAGGCGCATGCCACCACACTCAGCTAATTTTTTGTATTTTTAGTAGAGACGGGGTTTCACCATGTTGGCCAGGATGGTCTCAATTTCTTGACCTCGTGATCCGCCCACCTCAGCCTCCCAAAGTGCTGAGATTACAGGCGTGAGCCTCCGTGCCTGGCCTGCATTTAAACTTTTCTAAAATGTCAAATTAGCATATTCTTTCCTCAGTGTAAAGTTTTTAAAAGCTTTAATCTGCCTTTATTAATTACCCTTTCAAAAATATATTTAAATGCTAGGAAAAGTTAACTTTATTCTCTACTCACAAATTTCTTTTTACAGATAAATGTGGTTATATACATTGTTTAAAAACACTTTTCTACTAATGACACTTCATGTGTAGATCTACACAAATGCTGTTTTTATTCTTCTGGGAATAAGAAGAGCTGTGCCAAGAACTAATGGAAGGATAAAAATATCTTTGCGGTTGGGTGTGGTGGCTCACGCCAGTAATCCCAGCACTTTGGGAAGTTGAGGCTGGTGGATCATGAGGTCAAGAGATCGAGACCATCTTGGCCAACATGGTGAAACCCCGTCTCTACTAAAAATATAAAAATTAGCTGGGTGTGGTGGTGCACACCTGTAGTCTCAGCTGCTCTGGAGGCTCAGGGAGGAGAATCGCTTGAACCCTGGAGGCTGATGTTGCAGTGAGCAGAGATCGCCTCACTGCACTCCAGACTGGTGACAGAGTGAGACTCAGTCTCAAAAAAAATTTTTTTTTTTTGCAATTTTTCCCTACTTGCTCAGCCATTTTTTGTTTGTCTGTTTGGGGTCTGGTGTTTGTTC